AAACCATTTCAGGTGACTACCTCTTGAAGCTCATGGAGAGAATGCCAAGAGTGTGCAAAGCAGTAATCAGAGCAAAGGGTGGCTATTTTGAAGAAACTAGAATATAAAACATGTTTTCAGTTATTTCACCTTTTTTTGTTAAGTACATAACTCCACATGTGTTCATTCATAGTTTTGATGCCTTCAGTGAGAATCTACAATGTAAATAGTCATGAAAATAAAGAAAACGCATTGAATGAGAAGGTGTGTCCAAACTTTTGGCCTGTACTGTATGTGGACCTTAACAAGCCCTTACACCTGTGCGTGAGGTAAAGCTACCCTTACCCGACACCTTCTGTTATTTATCCACAATTAAAATGATACTTAAAACTAGTTGCACCTAATTTACAACCCCAATTCTAAAAAAGTTGGGAGGCAGTAAAAAGGATCAGAATGCAATGATTTGCAAATGATACTTAATACAGTACTGTATTTCATGTTCACACTGATGAACTTGATGATTGTTATAAATATACACTCACTCTGTATTTGATGCCTAACACCTTTTCTTTTAACAACTCTCAGGTGATTTGGAGCTGACAGCACTTACTACTGAAGTTTTAAAAGTGAAATTCTTTCTTATTCTTGCTTGATATATGACTTCAGTTGCTCAGCAGTCCGAGGTTTTAGTTGTTGTATTTTGTGCTTCATAATGTTCCCCACATGTTCAGTAGGAGACAGGTCTGGACTGCAGGCAGGTCAGTCTAGTACCTGCACTCTTTTGGCTTTGAACTTTGAGCTAGTGATAGTCTGGATGCTTTTCCTCTTTAGCCCCAAGGACACAACATCCATGATGGACTGGTCAGACCAGAGCACACTTTTCCACTTTGTTTCAGTCCATCTCTGATGAGCTTGGGCCCAGAGAAGTCGGCAGTGTTTCTGGATGTTGTTGATATATAGCTTTTACTTTGCATGATAGAGTCTTGCATTTGTAGATGCAGTGATGAACTGTTTACTGACAGCGTTTTTTTCATAAGTGTTCCTGAGCCCATGTAGTAATATGCCTTTTACAGTCATGTTGGTTTTTAATGCAGTGTTGTCTGGGAGGTCAAAGGTCACATATATTCCCAGTGTTGGTTTTTACCCTTACCCTTTACATGGAGTCATTTCCTCAGATTCCCTCAATCTTTTGATGATATTATAGACTGTAGATGGTGTAAGCCTTAAATTCCCTGCAATTGTGCATTAAGGAACATTCTTAAACTGTTGGACTGTTTGCCTTCGCAATTTTGCACAAAGTGCTGAACATCAAGCTGTCCTTGCTTTTGAACAACTGAGCCTTTTGAGGATGCCCCTTTCATACCCAGTCGTGATATTATTATGTGTAGTTGAGGTAGCACGTTGAAAGGCAGATAGTTATAGTTATAGTTTATATGTTGTATTGACTTAAAAGTGGGGCGCACTGGTAGAATGACTGACTGACTGACAGACAGAATGTCAGACAGTTTCCGTGATTACGTACAGCATACCATACCATGACTTAGTCATGCCAAAAATTAGAAAAAAAAACAAAACATTCGGCCACAGGGGGAGCCGCAGTGATCGTTCACATGTTAGCCATTTTCAAGCATTTTTCTGTTGTTACAGTGCCATCCAGTTGCCAATTAGAGTTAAATTTCTCCAGTCACCTTGAGGCATCCTGTTCTACATATCTACCAAGTTTAGTAAAAATTGATGTCTGTTAGGCCTAGATAAGAAATTAGCTCTCTAGCGCCCTTAAAAAAATGATAATCTCACCGCAAATGTTGGAGGAACTCCAGCCGCCTTCCCTCTTCCCCGTGTGACACGGGTATGGGCGGTTTTCCAAGCCACTGTCGGCACAAGGAATATAAGTCCCACTGTCGGCAGGGTGGAAATAAGTCAAAGTGTGGCGGAGAAAAGGGACAGGGAAAAGCGGCGGACCTCCGGGGAAGCCTGTTCCGTTCTCCCCGCAGTTAGGGACCGTTCGCCACAGTATCGCTGCTGGGCAGGGTGGAAATAAGTCCTGCAGGACCTGGAGAATGTTTTATGATAGTAATAACATTATATAAGATAATCATATTGCAAAGATAATATATATAAGATAATAACATTAAATACAAAATTAAATTGCAATACTTTTTCAAAACTTGACGATTTTACCTTTCTGTACATTTTGTATACAAATTCATTAAATAATTTTGCTTGTAAATGTCTATTTGCATCACGTTTATTACGGAAAACACATTATTTGATCAATTTACATTGTGCCCCTAAAGTTCTTTGTGCGCTCCTTACTTTTTCAACTTAGGAGCACATGTGCTCCTTGGGAAAAAAAGTTAGCGTCAAGTCCTGCGGGGCAATAGATATGCCCATTCAAAGTTTGCAATTTCAGTCGGTTGCTATAGGGCCCCCCCTATGGCCAGTTGATGTAATATTGCTTCATCTGCATCCTCCTATTACCCTCTACCATTGTGCCAAATTTCACATGGATTGACCAAGTCAGTGAGGAGAAAAACATGGAACAGACACATACACAGACACACCCACAGACACACAGAGTTTTCGTCCTTATATAGTAAGATATGCCTAAAGTGTGTCATTTGTCTGTTTTTTAACCAATAAAGAGTGGTTGTAGCATGTCAATGACATTTCCATTTGATTCCTGGTGTCAAAGTTATATGAAAAAGTCAGTTAATTTGTCTTTGTATGTTGTCTGGTTGAGGAGTTATGAAAATCTGCGTTTTCCGCCATTAGTGTGGACATCAATTCAAGATGGCCACCAAATAAACCCCATGAGCTATGAGTTGACCTTGGCAACAAAACAAATTTTCAACTAGACTTAGGGTGCTTAAAAAACAAGGTTACAAAAAAATGCCATGTGGGTACATGGGAACCTATCTCTAATGCTAGACTAACGTGCTTGTTCATTTTTTATCATTTTGACACAGTAGGCCATATGGAATAATGTCACCATTAAATCCACTGTCACCATTCAGTAGTGTTTAAACTAAACCCTAGGCTTTGTGTACTATTGGGCTGAGGGCTTGGAAGTTAGATCACAATATTTCTCAGGAATTGTTGCCTGAATCTTTTTTTGGTTTCCTGGGAAAAATCCCTGCCCAATCCTGTGACTGTGTGTTAAGATCATCTTTGTGCTTACATACTGATCAGTATTATGTGTAGGAAAAAAAGACTCCTTCTCCAAACCTCATTAATGCTACCACACAACTGTTGTAGCAATAGTCCTACCCTTGAAGTGCAGTTATTATGGTAATATAAGCGCTTCAACGTTTGAGCTGCAGGTTACATTTCATGCTTCAATGTGGATTCAGGCTTGTTGAAAATTAGTGTGAAAAAAATGGCAGCACATTCTGTTAACTATGGAGGCAGTTCAAGAAGTGACTTCATCAGACATACAATTCAGAGTACAGAGTGGTGTACAGCTTGTTTAACATGAAATGAAACTTAGGCCCCAGTTTTATTCTGGCCTTCCTCAAACCACAGAAGCAAGTGAAAAAAAGTTGCATGTCAAAGACTTTCCTTCTCTGAAACTCAGCTCAGCACTGAGGTTACAACAGCACTGGGACAGATCAAACTGGTAATGTTGGGTATCTGGTAGCCCAGTTCTGTAGAGTTGGCATTGTGCTTCCTCCACCACACTGCAATTTCTAAGTGGGATTGCTGTTCTACTTCTAGCAAAAATACAATAGAAAAATATAATGAACATCCTTTTATCAGTTGTCCACAGTGCTGTGGTTAAAGTCAAATGTCTTCTATGGTAAATTTTGTCAGTTACTGCATTGCAGAGCTGCTTACACTAGCAGTTAGTATTGTTTTTGGTATGCATGTTGTGTATTCCTGTCTTATCCTTCAGATTCTGCAGAGCATTGCAAACCATGTCCTGTTTACAAAAGAAGAACACATGAGGCCTTTCAATGACTTTGTCAAGAGCAACTTTGATTCAGCCAGAAGGTAAGACACTCCCCTCATCTTGTTTAAAAAAAATATCCAAACTAGTTTGATGAGAAGCATTGCTGTGGTTCAGACTACAGCTGCAGGCCTCTCAAAGGGTTGAAGTTAGAGGTTGTCATGGCTTCAGAGGAATGGACCTGTGACAAGGGATGTCCCTATCAAGTGTTTTTGCCCCTGATCCTGAGCCAAGTCATTTAATTTTAAATATTTGCTAATACTGACTCCTGATTTGATAACTCCATTTGCTTAGATAACACAGCTGAAGAGTGCACACTTAAACTACTTTAAAGTTATTAAAATCTGCCAACCTGAATGAACAGTATTCAGCTGCATGTTTATTTTTGTCATCTGAACATTCTTTCCATGATTAGGCTACATTTTGCAGTGGCACGGTGAGTATGGTTGTTGTTGGTTTGGAACAGAAGCTGTCTGAAACAGCAGCAGGCTGAGCCATGAACAAGCTGCTGAAACCATGACCTACTTCGGAGCAACCGCTTTTGTGGGTTGTTTCATACTTGTAATTTCCTTTTGACAGTTTCATGAAGGTTAAGCAGGTTATTTTGGTGTTCTCACACCACTTGTGACTTTGCCTGTAAGGTCACAAGTTAGAATGCTTTACAACAGCTGCTTTTCATCCAACTGTTCTTTAAAGTGTTCTGTTGACTATTTGTGGTAGAACGTTGGATATAATGAAGAGAGACCCCTCTATTGACAACATTGCTCTTCAGCGCCAATGGTGCACAAAGCCCAGAGTATCTTTAACTACAGTTGTGTAGTGCCTGCTGATTTTCCTCTGTCTGTACTCTGTTATCTCCACAACAGGTTTTTCTTGGACATAGCATCTGACTCTCCTCCTAGTGACTCGGTCAACCACAGTCTGTCCTTTATTAGTGACGGTAATGTGCTGGCCCTCCACCGCTTGCTGTGGAACAACCAGGAGAGGATCGGCCAGTACCTCTCCAGTAACAGGTCAGGAGAGATGATTTGATGAAGTACAACACTGGTGTGTTCTGCTGTATGATCTTAATAATAAACATACTCTGTACCACTTAATCAGTTTTATGAAATGATTCATTCTGATGTAATTTCCAGGGACCACAAGGCTGTAGGCAGGCGACCTTTTGACAAGATGGCCACCCTGCTGGCCTACCTGGGACCTCCTGAACACAAACCTGTGGCTGACACTCACTGGTCCAGTCTTAACCTGACCAGCTCCAAGTTTGAGGAGTTCATGACCAGGTAGCATTCCTACCAGGCTGTAACATAAGTCTCATCATGAATTTGTTTTTGGAGCTCCTCCATTACATTTCCTGATACGAGCCAGTGACTGTCTGCTTTGTCTCATATTCTCAGTCACATTCTGCAGCTGTTATATTTCATTTTAAACTTTATTGTTCCTGAGGGTGAAATGTGTCTCCACAGTGTGTGTAGTGGTCATGCCATTCAGTAAATAATATAGGTTGAATGCTCAACCTACTCAGCCATTATGACTTCTTTTGATTGGAATGTATTTGTGTGCACTTTGTGAACCTCGCCTCTCCTCCTGCTTCATCAGTTGCTTAAAGGGTTGTGGGTGTGGTTCTTAATCTCAGTGAGATTGCAGAGATCTTTTCTTTCCTCTGCTGTCCCTTTTTCCTCTGTTGCAGCAGCAGGGGCAGCAGTCTATCATATTGTGATACTACATCGAGCTTTTTTATTTCATTTTGACCAAATAACAAATGCAAAATTCATTCATTCGCTTATTCATTGTCTGTGACTGCTTATCCTGATACAGGGTCGCTGGTTGGCTGGAGCCTATCCAAGCTGACATTGGGCAAGAGGCAGGGTACACCCTGGACAGGTCGCCAGAGTATCAGAACCTCACTGATACAAAATTAATTCAAGGTCGTTTCCTGTAGCCTTTTTGTATCAAACTTCATCACTCCTTGTGATAAAGGAAAAACTTGATATGCTGGATTTTTTTGCCGATATCCGACATGCCGATATGTAACAACTCATTTGGCTGATAACCATTGTGTATATATATATATATATATATATATATACAGTGCCCTCCAAAAGTATTGGAACAGTGAGTCCAATTCGTTTACTTTTGTTGTAGACTGAAAACATTTGGGTTTGACTTCAAAAGATGAATATGAGACAAGAGATCAACATTTCAGCTTTTATTTCCAGGTATTTACATCTGGATCTGATACACAACTTAGAAGATAGCATTATTTGTAATGGAACACAAATTTTTTAGGTGAGCAAAAGTATTGGAACATATAAACTTAAAATAGATTAAAGTGAATGAGACTTAATATTTAGTTGCAAATCCTTTGCTTTCAATAACTGCATCAAGCCTGTGACCCATTGACATCACCAAACTTTTGCATTCTTCTTTTGTGAT